GCGACCTATATTTCGAGCGGTTAATTTTACATAGACCTTCTGGAGTATATATACGGTATACGGCACTGAGACAGGAACGCGAGATAAAAGGTTACGAACGTAGTTTTGTTTACTCCATACTGAGGATCGATTGTGCATTCTTTCATCATGGCCGAGGAAGACGAGACATGTCACCGTTACGATTCTCATTCCCTCTTCACTTCGTCCCTTGGAGCAGGTAAACGGAAGTGAGGAGGGGAGAAGCAAAAGCCGCTTCCCCTCATTCTCGACTGTTCTAGGAAGATCGAGACGCCACAGTTCTCGGTTGAACGCGCTCTTCTTTCCCCCAAAATACGACTCTCCGTTTGAGATATCGATGTATGAGTAAAGTTTTGGAGTTTGTAGCGTCCCGTTCAACGCTTGTGTGGCCTTATTTTGTGAAATACAAATTTTGGTTTAGCATCCCTTTAACGCGTGCCTTCCACTCAATAGCAATTCCTAGAATAAACAAACCGGCGCTAACCCCTGTTTTTTTTTTTTTTTTTTTTAACGTGTGACATGTTTTGAAGTTTCTATTTGCCGGAACCAGAGCGGATGTCCCGCAGGCGAGTCCCGCCAAATAGCACCTCAACTCACGGTGATGTTTCGCGACTCTTAACCACAAAAAAAAAAAAAAAAACGTTTACAAATCTAGTAACGCGAAAAACAGCGCAACTCTTGAGTAGAAGGGGAGGGTACGCCCCTCCTCCTCCATACCCTCCTCTCCTCTTTCTACTTTCCTCCTCTCCGCCTCCTCCCCGCCTCCTCCTCCTCCCCTTGTCGTCCCATAAACACCGGGGCCTGGGAATTTAAGAGCGTACTTTCCCCTTTCTTTTTAGAGGTTAGCCGTGAAGGCTTTCCCTTAAAGCTTTGCCGCCGCCTTTTGTAGAGACGTATACTCTGTTGATACCAAAGACGACCGGTGCTAGGCAGACAAGACGTGTAATTGATTATCGACCCATTATATTGTGCAATGTTGTCTATAAAGTCTTCACGCGCATTTGAACTAGTAGGCCCCAGCATGTTATTCAAGATTTAGTTGGGGAGCACGAACCATGTGGAATTATGGGTATATCACTACAGTCAAATGTTCATGTAACGTGGCCAATTTTAGGGTGTCTTAGCACTGAAGGCGGCCAAGCACCAGTGATCCAACTAGACATGCAGAAGGCATTTGATCGTGTTCACTATGATGTTATTTGGTCTGTTTTGTAGAGGGCAAATGTTGGGAAAGTTATATATTGGGGGTCCGTAAGGCATACACCGGGTGGACCACTAAGCTGGCTTGACCAATTCTTTAACCCCAAAGATACAAGTGTCGTCCTCTGTAAGGCAGGGCTTTCCCTTGTCCTCGTTATTGTTCTCGTTGTATTTAGAGTCATTTTCTTCAAGTGTTATTCAAAGCCACAAAGTGAGCTGTTTTTTGTAGGTTCTACTGAAACGAAGGTATTGTCTTGCGCGGGAGATATCGCTCTATTTTCTTCTAACAAGAGAAGTGTTACGGAAGTTTTGAAGCTGCGCTTTTTGTTCTGTGCCGCAACAAAGACTAAAATTAGCCTAGAGAAATGCCATTGGTTATTGCACGGTGAGCGGGATACAGCTCCAGCACAGTTTGAAGGAATAAGTCGAAGCACAATTCCGTTCAAGTGTCTAGGGGTCCCGCTGCAGCACACAAAGAGCACAACACCGTATTGGGAGAATGTCGTCGCAGTCGTTAAGAAAAAGGCATCTCGGTGGCGTAAGTGCAATGTGTCTATTTTTTACTCGCGCGACTGTATGCAAACTATTTTAACCACAAAGATATGGTATGTTCTGCAAGTACACGGAGCTTCATAAGTAAGATGCGCAACGTTTTTTTTTTTGTGCTATTTGCTTGTTTGTTGGTTAGTGAACCCATGTGTAATGAGTGTAATTATAACCTTTTAAGTCAAGTCTCCAAAGGAGGGGGCGGGCTAAGCCATATTTTGCTCGAAAAATCGTTTCTGTTTTCGTTTTCCTTTTTCTTTTTTTTTTTTTTTTACGGGATGAACAGATCCCATTGTTGCAAGTTATGATACAGGCCTGAGTAGCAGAAGCCTTACCAATTTTTATTATAACTTCAGAGTGTGCCCCCCCCCCCCCCCCCCCTCGGCAAAGCTAGTTTGTTTGGTAAAGAATGTTGTTGATTCTTTTTATTTTTAAGGTAATATTTTCACAACATAACCTGGCGACTGTTATGCTTAAAGAACTGACGCGAGACCACTTCATGTCCTTTTTCCTGTGCCATTGTTGCGTTTGCAGTACGTCTCAGGGCCTGGACAAGATTTATTGACAAGTGTTAACAGAATGTGTGTGCCACCGGTTGACAAAACGTTTTTCTTTCGGCTAAGCAGCTTCACTTTGCCATTGAAGGTCGGCCTACAGGGGCGTTGGTTGTACGTCCCTTGGGGCCTAAAATACCTCATTTGCTGACATCTGGAAACTATTGAGCACGTTTTCTTGAACAGTTGGGACGCTGCCTTTTTGGGGACGTTTTACAGCGTACACTGAAAAATGATCTATGCGTTGACTATTTCACCGCTAGGTTTCCCCCTATAGATAAGGCGGACAACGTGCCATATGACACGTTTATGGCGCTAGGGCTGTACAGTCTATGGCGATCACGCTTGGCGGTGCGACACACTGAGGCTAGACCAAAATGGGCGCGCAAATTTTTTTTATAAAGGTTGTACTACAGGTAAAAATAGTTATTTAAAAATATTGAAAACCCGCCTCAGTGGATTGTACTGCTATATTCGCTAATGGACATGGAAGAGCTTTAGTGCCGCCAACTGGTCAAAGTTAGTGCCCTTGGTGATTTTGTAATGCCTGGTGTGTTTTGTGTGTTTTGGCCTTTAAAAATAATTCGTGACATACTGGAAAGACATTGCTTATTATCTAAATGGTTTGGGTTCAATTCCTGCCTGGCGCATGCACTCTTTTTACCGCGATGGCCCCTTCCCTCCCCCCCTCCCCTCAAGAGCCAATCAGAGTCGAGTCTCGCGGCCACGCCTTTATCTAGGCTTCCTGTCAAGCTTTACGAAATGACGAGCATCTAGTCAAAGAACGTTTCACGTTGTGTTGCAATCTTTAAAATAAATATGAAGTATTGTCGCTGGTTGTTCCCGACGAAGGGACGATGACCGTGCCCTCGAAATATGATTATAGCTTCTCGAACACATTCCCTCAAATACTTCATGGCGCCTGTTTGCTGATGTTGTTGGGGCTGTTATCCTTGATTCTCGTGCATACACTCGAGAGGGAGACTAGCTATGAACGTGTCGAATATAAGAAATAAAGGTTTTATCGAAAAAATTGTTATGAACAGGCTGTAAGTGCGCAGGCGAGCTGGTGGAAGATAATTATGTCGTTCAACAGCTGTGACTGTAATGCAGAAAAAGAAAAACTTTTATTCGAAGGAACATACACAAAAGGGAACGCGTCAAACGTTACCCTCTGTAACTGTTCCTTCGTCGATACGTTTTTTCCTTTTCTGCACCACAGTCGCAGGTGTTTAACGATTGGATTATTGCGATCGATTTTTTTTTTCACTGGACGACCTTCATGTAAATTTTTCGGCCGAATGTTTCATCTATTCCTGCTAAAATTTCTACAACGCTGTATTGACCACGGCAATGTGGAAACATAACCGGCACATTTTTAGCCTGTAAAAAATGTTTGTGTATATTCTGATTTTTTTTTTAATGCATAATGTGACTTCGAAACTTTTTTGTGCAAAGTGATTTTAACAATGCTTGAGATTCCATTTGTAACTTGCCGGGCCTGAGAAACGTCTCCAGTGTATCGAATGAATATAAAAGTCTTCTGAAGGAACAAGATAATAAAAAAAGAGTACTTAATATTCGGTCGGAAATAATTCCTAAAGATTTTGCACTTTGCGTCAAATTTTGAAGATTTCACTCACCCATAACCTTGTTCGATATTTGTCCGTATATCTCGTCCGCAAGGTCTAGCCTGGAAATATAAACATTTACTAACCTTCCACAATTCGATTCTTCGACATCTAGATGACATCTACAACATAATTCTCCTTATACTCTAGTACCTGTCGCCCCTTTTCTTTTAGGTTAGTCGATACTTATTTGTATTTCTCTTGTAATATACACCCAAAGATTCAAATGGACACTGACAGGGAATTTATGGCCGCAAGACGTTTTTATTTGAACATTATTTACGAGAGAACTACTTATAACACTCTTTACGGCTCGATACTGCTGTTTTGTTTTTCTCACTGCCGACATTAACCGATTGAGAATATGTTGGTTTCACTCGCGCTCAATCACTTTCATTTTTATGGTGAGGTGGTGTTTAAACTAAAGCGTACCGAATGTATTCAAAGTGGTGGGTCATCTAACGTCCACCCTCCATATTAAGAATAAATAGACGTAAAAAAATCGTGGCTTCCGAGAAACTGCAATTACGTTGTTTGAAAAAACAAATGTGTTGTACATATCACAGGAAGTGCAGCGGCTGCGGTAAAAGGTTAGCACAAGTGACGGACAACACAGGGCGGCAAAATCGCGACACGCGGCACTATTGTTCCCGAGCTCCGCCGCAAGGCGGTGGTGGCTGGGAGGAAATAGCCAATGTTAAAGCCAACATTTCGAAAGCTATCTTATCCTCCAAATGTCTGGCGGCCACCCCTGCTTTGAGACATAGAACGTGACTGGCGCTCTCACCACCGGCGCGTTAGGAAACAATATTCCCGCGTGTCGCGATTTTGTCGCTTCGGTCATCGGTCACTTATGCTAAACTTTTTCCGCTGCATCTGTACATGTAGTCCGTTATCCTCAAGTTTGTCACGAATCATAATTCATGAGCCCACGAATGACTCAAAAAAACTAAACGTATAATGAGACGAACTTGTGCCCAACATAAATTAAAATAAATCTAGCGTCCCAGGCGTCGATGGCGGCGTAACAGTTGGATGAACCGCTGTGGAGAGTCTGACTCTGGCTCGCCACGCGGAGCTCCTTATGAACACGCTTGGGCTTCTGAACTAATCCACGTAGAAGGTTGGGCGCGCAGAACATTCGTCCCTCGAACAAGCAACGGGAATCTCAAAGTATCAGAACGCGATGGTCACAGAAATAACAAAAAGGTGCGTTTGCTCCCAGGCATTGAACCTCGGCCGATTTGCGTGGGAGTCACGCACGAAAACCATTCGGCTACGGACGCGCTTGCTCGGAGACTCGCGTGGCATTACTCTACCTTTTGAAGAGAACATCGTCTTAATTCGCCACGCAAAAAAAAAAAAAAGAAAAAAGAACACATTAAATAAAAAAAATGGGAAAATACGGAGTCTGGTAAAATATAGTACTATCAAGCGTAGCAAGGGATCACACTTTACTGTGTTATCGAGCGTACTACGGATTGAGGTGCACGACGTGGACGATGTGATGATGTTCTTGCTTTGTCTAGCTTCACCTCGTAGTTCAGATCTCCGAGTCGACGAAGTATTTTCTAGGGTGCGAAGTACCGTTTCCATGTTTTCCGCTTAGGCCGCGACGACGAATGGGTGTCCTCAACCACATTCTGTCTCCTAGCTGAAAGCGAACTTCCTGACGACGAAGGCTGTACTGGTGAGCATCAACGCGTTGTTGGTCTTGTAGCCAGAGGCTGGCGAGCTGTCCGACTTCCTAGACCCGTTTAGGGACGATCTAGGAGTCGCCGCTCTCGTCGTCGTCCGGTTCGTGAGGCGGCATTGCGTCCGGCATCGTCGCTACTTTGCGATCATCAATTAGCAGGAATAGTGTGATTTATGTGGTGTCTTGCACTGCCGGGTTGTACGCAAACGTGACATAGCGTAACACTTCTTCCCACGTCTTTTGCTCTACGTCGACACACATGAAGATTATGTCGGTGACAGATTCGCTTAGCCATTCGGCTAGTCCAATTGTTTGCGTTTGGTACTCGGTGTTTCGACGGTGGGTGATGCTACTGAGACGAAAGAACTCTTGCATCAGCTGCGCCAAGAACGATTGTCCACGGTCTGTAATGCGGACTTCGGTGGCAGCGAGCCGGAAAACGATGGACTCGATAAAAAAAACTTGGCGACTTCAAAAGCCATACCAGACGAAGGGCTTTCGTCTCGGCGTACCGTTTGAGATAATCACGTCGCGACGACTATCCATCGGTTTTCTTGCGTCGATGGCGGGAACGGTCTAATCACATACATACCGATTTGCTGAAATAAGAGTGGCGGCACAATAGGCTGAAGAATTTCCGCCTGTCTCGTCGGTGGTTTCTTCCGTCGTTGACATTCCTGGCCAGATTGGGTGAAGTAATGAACTGTCTTGGCAAGCTTGGGCCCGTAGTACTTCTCACTATCTTTTCAACAGTCCTTTTGGAGCCAAGTTTCTCTGTCGTCAGGTCACCTCGGCAAGCTTGAAATATCACTTCTCGGAGATTGGAGGGGATAACCAACATTGACGCCGCGTTGCTGTCGCTGAAGTTCTCCATGTACAACACACCTGTTCGGATGGGGGAGGCTGGCCGTGTTCGTATAAAAAAAGCGGTGAACCGAGCTCCCTTGTTCTTCTAGGTGCTCGTTGAATCCTCGCAGTTCAGAATCATCCTTACGAGTGCTGCCATGTCACTATCATCTAGTACGCCAAGGAAACACTCGTCGTCGACGTCAGCAGTGCAGGTAGGACCGGCTTCGACGGGTGCCCTTGACAGACATTCGGCATCACTGTGCTTTCAGCCAGGCCTGTGCAGTACAATCATATCGAACTCCTGCAGTCGTAGACTCCACCTGGCGACGCGTTTTGAGGGATCCTTCATATTCGCAAGCCAGCAAAGCGATGGTGGTCTGTAACCAGTCTGAACAGACTTCCATTCAAGCACAGGCAATACTCTGTGATGGTCCAGACGACGGCGAGGCATCCACCTTCCACCTTGAACAATGTCTGGCATGCGTATCCGATTACGAGCTCTGTTCCCTTTTGTATTAGGACCAGCACCGCGCCAAGCCCCGGTTTACTTGCGTCCGTGAGAATTTCTCTTTGTTCATGATGGTCGAAATGGCCAAGAACGGGAGGCGCTTAAAGTCTTCGTTTAAGCTGGTCGACCAGACGCTGGCACTTTTCTGTCCACAAAAACTGTACGGCGTTTTTTCTCGGGTATGTCAGTGGCGCCAAAAACTTCGCAAACGTTCGAACTAAGCACGTATACTGGGCACAGGTGCGTATGAATCTTAAGGTCTGCTCCTATTGCGGGAAAATACGGCTACAGCTCGCGTCTTATCGGGGTCAGGACGAACAACCTCGCTGCTCAAGACATGGCCTAAAAACTTGAACTCACCATAAGTGAAACGACATTTCGGTGACTTGAGAGTTAGTCCAGCGTCATTGGTGGCTTGAAATACGGCACGGAGTCGCCGTAAGTGCTCGTCGAAATTGCTGGCGAACACCCCAACTTCGTCGAGGTAGACAAGACAGCTCTGCCATTTAAAGCCTGCTAGCTCGGTGTCCTCGGCACGCAGGAATTTCGCCTGCTCTGTGCATAGCCTGAAGGGCGTCACTTTGATTTCGTACAGTGTATGGAGCATGACGAAGGCAGTTTTGTCCCAGTTCCGTTCGTCAACTTTGAGCTACCAGCAGCAACTCTTTAAGTCCATCGACGAAAAGTTTCGGAAGTGGCTCAGACGGTCTAGAGCAGGGGACAAAAACGCATTCAAGTGTGGGGGCCAGATTGCCCACCCTCCAGAGGATAAGTAACAAAAGGAGGAGGTCTCCGACCAAGCACGCCCGAGGCCAAATGTGAATTTTCGTATACTTGTGCAACAAGTTCAATGAGTGTATCAAGCGGCTGAAAATGTAGTTGAATAGTGTGATATTATAGAACCTCTCTTCCGAATCCGAGGAGTTTAGCTATCGTCCGCAAAAGACATGGTGGCTCTTTTATCAATTGACTGAAAGCTCTCCAAAGTAAGTAACCTTGTTTAACTACCACACAATACAAAGAAATGCTCCCGTGGACAAATTGTGTTTTTTCTTGGCTCCTTCGCAAGTGGGTCGTGATTCGAGTCCTGAGAGAGGACGCTCCTTTTTGTTATTTTTGTAAATGTTGCGTTCTGGTGAATTTGAAAACATTGTTGGTTATTTGAGGTCCAAATGTTCCACGCGCAGAACCTTCTACGCCGCTTGTTGTTGAAGACCGCGCGTGTACAAAAGCGGCTCAGCTTGGCTATTCGCTGTCAGTCTCGTCCCAGCGCTCGATCCTGTTGTTTCGCCGAAATCGAAACCTGCGACGCTAACCTTCTATATATAGTTTTGGGCACAAGTTCGCCCCATTAAACGTTTAGTTTCTCCAGATAAGTCGGCCCCTCATCATTTCTCCTTCGTGACAATACTTTGTTATTTTGGGCCAAGAGATTAAACAAACAAACAGAAGGCGCGTTTCACGTTACAAAGCAGCCGACTGTCCCAGCGACACCGTAGGCACCTTTCTAGACTATGCACTTTCTGCTTTCTCCTTTTTGTAAGCTCATTGTTTTGTTCGATCTAGCTTTTATTTGTGTAAATGACTATTTTGGGCCCACACCTGATGTTTTAAAAAGATTTAGCGAAAGCATTCGAGTTGAAAATACAGATTATACTATGCGTCAAACATTGAGAACAAAAATTACTGTGAGTCGTTTTCACTTTACCTATTTAGAGCAACGAACAAAACCGGGTACAAAAATCAAGCATCCTAAACGTAGCATTTTACCTTGCTCCACTTTAAAACGTTTGTGTGGAAAATTAAATTTTCAAACAAAGCTTAGACGTATGGTTTCTCCATTTCGGAAATGGGGCTATAATATTAGTTTTAGGCAAATCGAAACATTTAACCCGACATGCGCTTTTGAGTCAAAATAAAAAGACCCTATTATAATAAACTTGAAGAGCACATATCTGTGTCGTATGTGTAGCGCATCCGAAATCACCCCCAACTCCCCGTAAACGAGCATTGAAAATCCTGCACGCCTAATGCCCTCACGATATCTTTTCTGCTCACCGGATTTATCAGGAAAAATAAAAAAAAATCTTACTATTTCTGAAGACGATTCAGTGTTAGTCAGCTTTGCAAGACAAGAATCGATTGTGAAACTACTTTACAAACATAGAGCACGGTGTCCAAGTCGGCTCCGTAGTGACAACCAAGAGAATCTTCCCCATCTAAATATACCAGTCGTAGGTTTGCAAGTCTCGCGCAGTCTTTTATAACTTCGATCACGCTGCTAAATGATCAAACCAGTATAACTAAGATTTTTAATAGGAATCGATACACACATTTTGTTTCGTCATTAGAAGACAGTGGCACAAAACTAATAGAGGTGCTAATTGTGACGTCACGCCTTTTTTGGTTACGACTGGGTGCGCAGCAATGCAGCCGGTTGTGACCCCTCATAAGGGGCTTAAAAGCCATTCCTGTCGCACTCGGTTGTACTTAAGCACAGGTGTGTGAACGGGCCTTCACCTGCTTGCGAGGAGTATTTTTTTCTGTACCCCAGCAACAACGGCGTTCAGGGTTGACCTCAGGATGGGAAACACCGTCTAGAATAATGATAGTTTTAGGGAACCGTATTTGCGCATCCGACATGGTATGATGGGCCCTCCGGTATGAACTGCGCATATGCGAGTCTTCTGCTGTGGCGCATGTGCAGTGCGCACTTGTAGGTCCATGGTACCGTATTGGAAGTGCAAGAACTGTTCCCTACAACTCTCTAATATTAGGTAGATTTAGGGAACCATTTTTGCCCATTCAATACGGTACGATTGGCCGTCCGGTACGAACTGCGCATGTGAGTTTCTTCTGCTGTAGCGCATGCGCAGTTTGTACCGAAGGGCCCATCGTACCGTATCGGGAGTGCAAAAGCGGTTCCTTACAACCCCCTAGTATCAAACAAAACATACGGTAAATTCGTAAGGAATAATTTAAGAATATTATCGTATGTTGTTAAGTATTGTGGGGCTGAGTAATACGTTTAGATAAGGAGAAGTAAGGGTAAGATAAAGTAAAATTACGTGCTGCTGTTCCGCTGGCCACAACTAAAAGCGTAGACCAGTATAGGTAAACCTCAAGTATCTCAAACAATTAGCATGGAGTAATCAAAACCTAGACCAATTCACTTAAAATTCTTAGGAACTGGCACAAAATGATTAAATGATGCAAAAAGGAAGATGGTGAGAATTGTGGCCACTGAGCTACTTCCCTTTCTACGCAATCATAAACGCCCAGCCAAATTCTATAACTGAGCAAAGTGCGACACGCGTCAGGAGAATGCTTCGGGTATTTGTGCACTGGAGAGAGACGCTGCAATAATGACTACATTGTTTCGTGAAACCAAAAAGGAATTATTGAGAGGGAAATGAATAATAAAGCGGCGAATATTGGGTGCGCGCAGAGGGACCCGGGGTACAGGTGATGGCTGGTCAGTGGCATTGTCTCAGCACTCGTGGAAGCATGAGTGGTGCGCATGTAATCAACAGCGGTGTCGCGGGCAGGTGCTCGAAGTCGAATCCTATAATATCGATTAAACAACAATCCTAAAAATTGTGTTTTATTTTTCTGACCGGATTCAGTTAAGGGCGCTAGGCTACGGTAGAATAAGGTATTAATAGGTTGCACTTACGATGTGACAAGAACGGTAATATCCTGCTCTTTGCTGTGTCCATAAATGTGTTTAGTCCCTTCTAGCGTGGGGTCTGCTTTAGCGTAAAATTTACTAGGGCAGGTTGGACAGTCAACGTCCTTTCCATAAAAAATATAGGGAACCGAAGCGTCCTGAAAACCAATATACATGATAACTCGATAACTATTAATGCAGCGACTCGAGTAAATTACAAGATGGTATATACAGTAGGCGAACACGTACGTCTACTTCAACTTTAGTCAGTAAAAATTGAACCATTGGTTCTTTGGTGTCTTCATAGCGAATGTTTACCTGCAAAGATAGAAATGTGATGTGTGAAAAGTTAAATAATATTTACAAAAAAATTAACAATATGCTATGCGTTTTTGTTTTGCTTTACTAAAGTCAAATAATAAAGAAATAATAATTCGCGACATAACAGCACAGAGTTACGATGCAAGCCAACTTAGTTTAATTCTAAACTTGCTTCTCTCTAAAATGTGTATTTTCAAACAATCTGGAACATTACTTTTTAGATACATATTCGCTTCTCCTAACTAACAATGTCAAAAACATTATTTAGGAAGCACATCGCTAGATAATTGTCTGACATTTGTGATGTTTCAGTTTCAGAATTGTATTTTTAACATTCGGTGCTTGGGGCCTTATCTCATACATATCGTTTCGAATTCCAATAGGAACCAGCTCAAATAAGTTTAAAATATGACTGATAGCAGTTATCTGATTTTGGGCAAGGTACACAAACGTAAAATGTTTCTTATTGCGCGCAATTTGAAGCAGCGAATTCCAGTAGAATTTTACTTAAACGTTTCACGCACAGGCCCAGAATGAAAGCAAATTGAGCAAATTCAAAATTCTTGAGGTTTTAGTATCAAAATAATTGATCTCTAATTAACCGCTTTGAGCTGTCGAAAAAAAAATAATAATGCTTTTATAAATGTCTTACCATTTGCATACATGTTGCTAAATACTCAATTATTTCTTCTTTGTTTCTGAAGTGGGAACGGTGATTAGAATCGACCACAATTCTTAGCTCCGCTGCAAAAACGCTTTGACTGCTATTTTTGTTTAGATCAGCTGTAACAAGAAAGGCCGTGGAGTCAAGATATAGTCCAAATTAAGGAATGGCATGAAACTCAACTCGATTGAGCACACCATAGTATCATCCTCGAAATGCGAAGGCTTGCTGGCACACACAGCTGTCGTATCAACAAAGTCACTGAAATGCTTCAGTTTGGTCTAACGTTAATAAGTTCCTATATTGAGAAGAACAACAGTCGCAATGGGAAGGTGGTCGGCTTGTTTCTGCTATGGTGGGCAGAAGGCGAGATCTGGCGATTGGTTGGTCCTCGCGCCGGTCAAGAGCGGCCCCAGATTTTATGCCTCACGCGCCCCTATCACCATGGTCTTACGTGTGAGCTGACAGCAGCACTGCAGCGGTGAAGATCAGCTCTATGTTTGGAAAGGAGGCGCTAAAAAAAGAAGAGCAGGCGAAAATATCAAAAATATGTCAGAGTACGGTCGTTCTAATGTGGGATATAATAGTATCTATATTTCCAATCGCTTTCTGCAAGAGTGTTGTGGAAGTTCGCGTTTTGCTTTTTATGTGCCGTTTGAGAAACCTTTACAGTGCGGCAAACACCCCAGTGAGTGGAAAACCGCAAACGTCATAGAATAGCGTTGAAAATACAGTTAATAATTTCATATCACTAACCCCCCTTAGTGCGTACTCAAAGCTCTCGGAGCACAAAATGTATAGAACAAATAATGTTTTTTTTATGTATATAGTCGACTGCTTATATTTCTTGCGTATTCCTTTGTGTATTTTTATCTATATTTTGTACAATTGTCTTTGTACCTTTGCCCATTTCTTGCAGTAATGCCTTCTGAGAGCAGCAGGTAAAATAATACAAAAAAAATATTACTCAGTCAGGTAATTTCGTTAGCATTTTCCTATTTTATTAACCCGTGAGTTAAAGATGGCGTTGCTTGCAGCAGATTAATCATGTTGCTTTTTGTAGCGATAAATCGCAGGACTGCTCTCACAAACGCGATCGTCACACCTTCCCTCCTAGCGCACCGTGTCCATGCCAAATCCGGGCTTTGCTTTCTTCATATTTCTAAAAACGCAGAGCAACGTATTTACGAGAGCTGTGAAAATGTGTTTCATGGATGTCGAAATCATATTTTGAAGATATGTACCTTTACAGTTTTATCAATTTCTACACCAAATAATACTACATCAAATAATACATTTCGAAGGCTGAAGGAGGAGCCCTAGCTGGGAAAGGCACCTTAAAACGCTTTGACGCGCCTAGAAATATTTTTCAGTGTTCCAATATTTTGGGTGTATTTGAAATCATCCTGAAGTGTATGAGATAATATAAAATGTCTCTGAGTTAACAGTGGTTGCTTATATGAGAATATTGAATGATTCTGCTTCCAAAACATTTTTCAAATGTCACTCTTTATGGCAGAGCAGAAGTAAATTTTAGTATCAAAGGAATATCCGAGGTGCGACGCCATTTATGAAACTTACTTCACTCGCTCAAAGGGTGAGTATAAGATAATATACATGGCAAGTATTTCTCCAAAACTTTTCTTTCTATACCACCCGAGCATCGTAGAGTACAAAAATTAATATAGAATGTAAAATTAATATACCTTTGAATGTATTGCTATCGTCGGCCCGATGATCAACCTGATATATTTTATGCGGGATACGCCCCTCTTCTGACCGAGCTTCGATATGCAGAGGTCTGATTCTCAATGTGTTGCTTAGGATTCCTCTCTGCAAAAAAAGTACGGCGAGTAAACGGCTGAGAAAAAATAAGCTGCTGAGGCTTATAATCACAACATTCAATTAATGGGTATAACTACACTGTATTATTTTTGGTTTTAACCGTAAAGCACCGATAAGCATCCGTCGGTGAGAAGAATACAAAATGTTTAAACCGAAAAACCCCGATGACCTTTTACTGGTCTAAAATTACACAAAAGTAGATAAAACTTGAAAAGCCATCACCGTCACTGAAATACACAAATATTTGAAAGGAAAACAAAAAAGGAAAACAAAAAAGGAAAACTTCGTATCAGAAGTCATTCGGCAGTGGTCTTTAGGAGAGGCCACAACATGCTACTTTTAATATGTGTGGATAAGTAAGGGTAGTGTAATCGTCAACATCGGTTCTGAACTTCCGGTCAAATTATGATGCCCCGACAGAAGCTAAGGTAGCATCTTAAAATGATTGACACGTTATAGCTTTTGTTTCGACTATACCAAGATGGCTTCTTTAGGGGGCCATCTTGATTTTTATACATAAAAATTAGAATTCTGCGAATTTAAGATAAATTTTTGCTCAATATAACTGTTTTAATTCCGTATTTATGATGTCGGTGTGCAAATATGTTTAATCAGCAAAAAAAAAACGTTCAAAAGCTCGTATTGACCAGCAATAAACACCCAAAAGAAACTTTAAAAATCACCTTCTACATGTTGTAGACTTCTTTTCTATTACCCGCTTTGGTAATTGCAACTTTTTCATTGATTGCAGTAAAGTGCAACTTTGCAATAATGGCATTCTAATGCAATTATTGCAAAGTTAGATTATAATTGCACTATACTCCAACTTTGCAATACTTGCATTAATATCATAACCGTTGAATGCAGGCCGTTCACCTCTATTCGTGTTAGAATAGTGGTAACTTTTAAAACCCGATTGCTATACTTGCGTATACATCCTTGTTAGCTCAGCTGGTGCAGCCCTCCAGTGGAAATGAGAAGGTCTCTGGTTCGAGTCCAGGATCAGTTGGATTTCTTCAGTCACGCACTAGTAACCTAGTCGTGTTCTCAGATTTGTGCGTTCTATTTCTCCCCTTATTCCCCTTCCCCAGGGATATTATCGCTAATTTCGTCCAGGTCACCGCAAATTTGCCTTAATTGCATTAACATCATGACCTCAAAACTTTAAGCTGTTTACCTTTGTTGGTGATAGACTAGTATCAGCTGATAAAACCCGTTTGCTCTTCTGACGAATAACTTCTGGTTATCTCAGTTGGTAGAGCGGTCCACTGGAATTGAAATGGTCCCTTGTTCGATACCAGGACCAGCCTAATTTTTTTCAGCCGGGCACCAGTCACCTAGTTGTGTTTGGATATTTTGGCTGTCATCCCCCCCCCCCCACGTTGTTCCCCTTCCCCAGAGATTATCATCGTTATTTTCGTCCAGCTCACCTCAAGTTTGCATCACGTGAATTATAATCATCACCTCGGAAATTCAAGGCGGTTACCCTGTGGTGGGGTTGCCTTGCTGCATGCCCATCCGGGATGAACAACACCAAGCCGGGGTTTCCATAACAAGAAACTACATATATTAGAGTAACAGAAAGGGTAGTTAGTATTGAAGTACAGCATTGCCGTAGCGTTAGATCTACATGCCTCCGTAACCTCGGTCCGTCTCCCTTTGTCCTGTGTGCGTGTCCTCCTTTTATTAGCTCTTGCGCCTATTCCTCATGTGCTGTTGTAGGCTTTGGACTGTGTCCTTTTCCGACGGTCTTTAGCGGCCCCTGGGCGTGGTGGCAGACCTTCGCTCTTACACTCCCCCCCCCCCCCCTCCCTTAAGCATTTGGCATGTCAATAGCTATCTTCGTGGTCGTCGTCGGCAGGGGGTCGTCGCAGAAGGTGTGGACGGCGGCGCTGTATAAGCGCTATGGCGCGCTCCAGGTCGCGGGCGTCCTTTGTGGCAGTTCCCATCATCGCCGGCGGAGGCAGTTTCCGGTGGCTCTGGAATATCTTGCTCACTGGCCGCTGTTTCTCGAGTGGGTCTGGCCGGTTGCCGCCCTCGGTGACTGGGACCACCACGTGTCCTAGAAACCTGGCGTCCAGATGACCAGGATTTGTGGTGGCATTGACCGTGATCCATTTTCGTAGATCGGAACAAGGCATTGCCATTGGCAGACCCTCGCTCCCACAACCCTTGTTGGCGTTAGACAGATGTAAGCTGATAAAAACCGTTTTCTCTTCTCACGTCTAACTCCTGGTTAGCTCACTTGATAGAGCGCTCTTCTGGAAATAAAGAGGTACTATGTTCAATACCAGATCTAAAGAAATTTCAGAAGTATGCATATTTTTTTAACGCTAGTCGCCAATCTCAGAAGGGTGTTTATTCGTCCGTCCGCACGCTACATTTAGCAGAGAAATTGCTGTCACTTGATATATGCACTTATTCAGTTTCCCCGCTAAATTGAGCGCGGCAATTGATGTCAGGTGGCCTGACGTCATGGGGCTTAAAGACCAATTCAGTTTCTCCATAAAGTTAGCTGAAAAATTGACATCACATAACCTATATGCCAGTTCAGTTTCCCTGTTAAATTTTGAGAAAAACGCATGTCATGTGACCTATACACGAACTTAGTTTCCCCACTAAATTTAACGGAATGTTTGATGCAACGTTACCTGACGCCAAGAAACCTACAGACCAATTAAGTTTTCCAGCTAGATTTAGCTGAACAGTTTCCGTCACATGACCTGTACACCGATTCAATTTTGCTAAATTGGATAGGAAAATTGATGTCACGTGACCTAACGTCACATGGCGTCCACACCAATTCACTTTTTTTCACTAAATTTGGCGGGAAAATTGATGTCATGTAACCTGACATCACGTGAAATATACGCCGATGTAGATTTCCCGTTAAAATATAGCGGGAATATTGACGTCGCGTGACATGACATGACGCGACTTATACTGTAGAAGACTGTGCATAGTCTTCTGAACAAATGAAAATGATTACCTTTTTGACGCCAGCGGCATTTATTGTGTTATAGGTTTGTGAAAGTAAAGGTCGCTGCCAATTCTTTCTTTCTTGTCAAGCGCGCAGAAGTTATTTAGCTGTATTTGGAGATTTGTGTTTTCATTTGTACCTAATATTCCCCTTCTCCAGGGATTATTGTCATTAGTGTTCTCGAGCTCCCTGCAACTTTACGCTAATTTTATTAACATCAAGAGCTAAGCATGTTGCCTGACTCCGATGCGCGTCGCAAAGGATGAACGTGACCGCGGCGAGTCTCGCCTCATTTCGTCGAGGAGGTCTCTCATCCGACGGCCTCAGAGCACTAACAGTGCAAAAAAGCTGCTCCATGCTTGCCTTAATCTCTGCGATCGCAGCTTGCCAGGGGGGAAGGGGCTCGTAAGGCGCCAAAGCTGCAATAGATGGTAATGAGTATTCGGCGGTTCGGTCAGCCAGAATCGCAAGACAATCTAATTGCTTGTAATCAGCAACTGCCAAAGCCATCCGCATTTCTTCTGGGATGACGAAAATAATCATTGGAGCAGGGGAACAGGGGGAAATTTTTGTCGCGCTCGCTTGAACATTTGCTTTGTATTGTAATATCATGATATCCTTTTGGAAGTTTATAAAGAGCTCCCGCAGGATACGGGCTTGGGAGTCGGAGGCTTAGGGGCCCAGCAACGGTCGCATTTGGTGAAGCAGCTGCGATGGGCGGCGGTCTCCTAGTTCCTGGGCTGTCAGCAGCTGCTGTATTTGTGACCGCTAGAAAACTGTTGTTCGCTGAGCAGAACGGTTCTGAAGTGTTTGTAGACGTCCTCATGGGAGGCCGCCACAGCACGTTGTCAACCTTAGCAGCAACGACTGGCGGCAGGGAGGCAATGACGTGGTAAAATCGTGACAGCCGGCGAAGGATGCTTACCACTTTAACAATGCCGTTCTTAACTTCTACGTTGACCGACGCCATTCGAACTCTGTCGTGATACATGTTTGCTTCCAGCTTCTTTCCGTCCATCTGTTAAGAGGAAACCATGAATAAAACACACTGTTACGTTCGCCTTGTATATAAATAGTATAGAGGTGAGCCAGAACTCTGAGAATGATTTAACGGTAATATAAAGAAGAAACTAAAATTGAGCAGTAATAAATCGAGGCCAATCAGAAGACTTTCACTACCCCGTAGCTTTGTTCTTTTTTGCCTTTCGAATTTTCGGTGAAAGACAGAGAGATAAGAGGAGATTAGAGCACGCTGGGAAGTCAGAGGGCCGAGTTCTGATTGCAATGAGACTTGTGGGCAGATAGATGGAAAGGCTAGCTTCGTTTCTCTACTCGCTGGTCAAAGGTGGGGGAACACCAAACGCCAGCGTCTTCTGTTCCAACGCGTTGACACTGCATGAAAAGCAGACAAGGCTCCTATATATATATATATATATATATATATATATATATATATATATATATATATATATATATATATATAGGAGTTTATTGCGTGTATTACGACAGTTTCGCCAAGAGGCTCGGCTTCATCTGGAGATGGCATACATATGCGTAGTATTATGCCATCTCCTGACGAAGCCGAGCCTCTCGGCGAAACTGTCGTAATGCATGCAATAAACTTCTAGCATAGCAACTCCGCAAGTACGGATCTCTGACTTATAATATATGTATATATATATATATATATATATATATATATATATATATATATATATATAAATATAGATATAGATATATATATAGATATATATATATGGATAGGTTGATATTTTTTGTCGGAAACAAGTTTTATAAAAAAGCGTCTTCACTGCTACGTGCAGGCTATTTTCAATATCTGTTGAGCTCGGCGGACATTTGGGGCGAACAACCGTCACAGACTGGTGAATAATGAATTAAAAATTCCTTAATTACGTTTTCATTTACTGGTTTTATGGCCCAGGTTGCAATTGCAATTTTGAAGACAGCCGCCCTGGTCTGCTAAACCACAATACACAATTAAGAAAAAAAAAAAAAACTTTGGATATTTTTTTGACAATTTTTCAACTTTCTATCATCTGATTCCGAAACTGAAAGTTCCACATGCGCCGGAAGCGCTGACCACGTGACGCTTGTAGAAGTGACGGTTTTGTGACGTACAGATCGTCAAGATCTCCTACATGCACTGCAGCTGTCAGGGTGCGGCTCGAGGTATGCAAACTCGCTGGGAAGGTCTTTAGCGCTCTCGCTTGCCATAGGTCATTGCCCTCTTAGCCGGTTTGTATACCTCGAGTAGCACCCTGACAGCTGCAGTGCATGTAGGAGATCTTGACGATTTTTACGTCACAAAACCGTCATTTTTACAAGCGTCATGTGGTCAGCACTTCCGGCGCACTTGGAACCTTTCAGTTTCAGAATTGGGGGATGGAAAGGGGAGAAATTGTGGACGGATATCTACGAACCAGTAGTTCTTTCCTAATTATGTAAGTTGGTCAAGCTTCCCAGGGCGGCTTTCTTGAAAATTATAATTGCAACATGTCCTCTAAAACCAGTAATTATAAAGTTTACGGATTTTAGTTAGTTACTTACCAGACTGTGACGGTTGTTCGCCCCTCGAATATGCGCTGAGCATGTGGAACATTTAGTGAATACGGCATTCCCGTAGCAGTAACGACGCTTTTCTTCAAGTTCTGCTTCAAACAAGAAATATATATATATATATATATATATATATATTTATTTATTTATTTATTTATTTATTTATTCACTTACTTTTTACACAGGACCGTGTATCGCCGCTTGACATTTTTATCATGACGGGGGTTTTCATAGCATATACGCAACATCACTGGATTGTATATAGTTTGGCACAAGCGAATCCGATGCAGCAAAACGAGCCGGAAAGATCGGTGCGTGTGCATAGAAAGCACCGACTTTCCCAGAGTGTTCATTGAACGAGTCAGTTTCTCCGTGTAACATTTCAAGGCGTAGTTTTCTTTCTAAAAACAAGGGATCAACCAACTTAAAAAAATCAACCTTGGGCGCGTTCGCAGATGACCGAGTCAGCAACGCTATAAACTTGTAGCGCCATCCCCCTATAGGTGCGTAAGTAGAAAACAGAGTACGTCGTCTGCTTGCTCTGTCTATTGGGAGATGGCGGCACAAGTTAGTAGCGTTGCTAACTCTGTCGTCTCCCAAAGCCCCCATCGTTTACTGGCAAATTTGTGTCTTATTTTGTACTGGAAGAAAACTGGGCGTTGACATGTCACACTTTAGAAGTGGCCTTCTCAGTGCACCACCGGCGAAAGCTTAAGGTCCCTATGTGGTGGCATCGACATATTTTAAAAACGTGTTTTAAATAAATTTTTGTTTTAAAATTTGTTTTATTATAGCCATTATAAATCCACACTAACTACGTTTGTTCAGAGAGTTATACAGCCAGGAGGACATAGTATAGTTTACACACCGGCACACTAAACATCCCAGTTAACTAGAATGCTGTCATGAACTCTTTAATTAGTGAAATACACACATATTTCTAATTAGAAACTTGCTCATCATCATCGGAAACCACTAAAGCAGTTGATTTTAGAAAGACCTGGAGCATCTGGGGAACACGGTGGAGCGCTAAATCCACCAGTCATGCAGCAGGAGCATGGCAACCCGAGGGATAATTTCCGTCTCTCCTCATCCGCCTTTTTTCACCGCCAGCCCTGTGCCAGTTGCACGAGTGGTAAATATAACGCACTACTGCGCAACCCAGGCGCTCAAACACGTTTTATGAACTACTGACTTAGTGATTTCGACGACGCTCAGCAAGTTTCTAACGGGAACCATATGTTTATCTTCAATATTTAGAAAGTTAACACTTTTTAGGTAATTTTTCAACTTAGAGTTACGATGACCCCTTATAATACGTCCCTCAGGTCAGACAAGTCACCAGCACATTACGAATTAGTGTAGTATTTAAGGCTTTTTTATAACAAATTTATAAATCCTAAAAGGGACCCACATACCAAACTAAGAAGAAAAAATAAACGGAGCTCTATGCTCCCTGTTTTGAATGTACAGTTGGTCTGTATAGGACGAAATGGATATTCTTAGCAATCCAGCGTCTGCGGAATGTGCACTACTTTTTTTTTTTTTTTTTGTGCACATAATTAAAGTTTTTAAGACGGATTAGCTATGTTAATCATTATTTTTTTCTTGGCCAGTTTGTGAACAAAAAATTTGCAGAGCGCATTAAGGAACACCCAATTAAGGCGTTTGCTACGTCATACTCTTTGCGCGCTTCTTTGTTTAGCCTGAAAAAAAGGCCGCAAAAAGAAAAAAAAGAGTGACAACGCGCTTACGCATTGCGCTTGCAGGGCTCTCTGCTTTGAAGGAACGATGTCCACCTTATTATTGGTGTGGTTTACGAGACAGGGGTTTGCGGAACCAGGTGTTCGTGCATATGTGCGAGGCACACACAAACAAATATTTGTTTTCTCGGACAGCGCGCCAGTGCAGGCGCGCTGTTTAGAGCACGGTTTAAAGTAGTGCAGGCGCGTTTTCAATTGGGATTTCTTTAAATATTTTGCGTGCTTCATTTCCAGACTGAATAGAGAAGGGTTCGAAGCCAATAAACTATCAAACACCTTAATTGATTGCTTCTCAGCGCCTCTCTACAATCAACCAATTCACACCTCGGCCCTTAAAACAATAAATAAAAAAGTTAGCTAGGTAGTCTTAAATAATTAAATAGGCGCACCAAGAAATGTGTGCGCTTTTGTAAGATGCTAGCTGAGAGCCTACATTTGGTTTCACTCCCACAAAGCGTGCTGCTTTTTTATAATTTTGCTAGAAGTTCTCTGTGACTCATGTATTGAAAACACCATATAACAGGAGGAGTATAAATCTAATCACTGGAATTAAAATATTGCAGAAGTGCAACTTTATCACCATGAGAATCCACCTTATCATTACCATCCACAACCGCGCATTACATTTAAGGGTGATGCGTGGCTCGTGCTATATTTCACGGGGCAGAACTTCTCCAGGGTTCGGACAGTAAAGCCGGTGCTTTTCATCACTCAAATTCGTCTTTTTTACCCATGGTGGAGGGCGGCAACAGTATTCACGCCCCTGTTCTCTTTTTAAGTCCTGGAGATTCTCTATTGCAACAAAACCGTCAACAGTGCTAAATCGAGCTCCGTGGTTTCCTCGGATTGCAATACGGTTGCGACCATCGCAACTAAGACAGCCGGCACTCGACCGGCACCTGCTTTAACTGTAACATTCCGACAACGCGACCCCAGCTCTTTCACTGGTATCGCAATCGACGACGTGAGTAACACGATTGTCTCCTTCAAGCGAGCTAGCCGTCACTACCTACGCAACGACCAACTGAAACTATCTGACGTCATTTTCTACCTGACAAACGTCGTCCAGACGTGGTTCATTAAACACGAGCTCGAATTTGACACCTTTACCACATTCACAAGGCGCATGTTGGAAGTCTTCAGCGAGTCTGCAGCACGCAAACATGTTGCTGAACGCAAGCTTGCCTTAAGGGTAGAGCAAAGAGGAGAAACCTACGCGTCCTACATCGATGATGTTGTGTCCTTGATCAAGCTTGCTGACAAAGACATGCCAGAGCCATACAAACTACATCATCTCCTCCAAGGCATTGCCGAAGAGGCCTCTCATGTTCTTCTCGTCATCAAACCAAACAATATTACAGAATTCTCGGATGAGTGTCTTCGAAATCTGGAAGCGAAGACTCGTCGCGTTACATCCTCATTTTCCCAGGTCACAAGTAATAACACTCCTACCGTCGCAGCGTTAGCGTCAACCAACGCAGAGAGCCTTAGAAGTCTCATCCGCGAGATCGTGCGCAACAAAACATCCTGTCAAGCGGGATGTTTTGTAGGCACGCTTGACATCCTGTCAAGCGGGGCCTACTGAATCCTCCTGACTCAAACAATAATCCAAGCAAAAGTCGTGGCAACAATGCAGCCTCTGCCGCCACCTCCACCAACGTACGTCGACGTCGCCGTA